TTTTTCATTACTCTCCTTTCTTTATTATCCCTTCATTGTTCTCCCCCTTTTTCATTACTCTCCCTTCTTCACTACTCTCATTTTCTTCACACTCTCCCTTCACTATTCTGCCTTCTTCCCTAATCACCCTTCTTCCCTAAACTTCCTTCTTCCCTACTCCCCCCTTCTTCCCTACTCTCCATTTTTCTCTATTCTCTCTTCTTCCTTACTCTACCTTGTTCACTATTCTCCCTTGTTTTTTTACTCTCCCTTCTTTACTTCTCTCCTTTTTTCCACAATCTGCATTCTTAACTATTCTCTCTTCTTCCTACTCTCCCTTCTTCACTCATATCCCTTCTTCCTTTCTCTCTCCTCTTCACAATTTTCCCTTTTTTTTTCCCCCTTCTTCACTGCTCTCCCTTCTCCACTACCTCCCTACTTCCCTGATTTCATTTCTTTACTACTCTCCCTTGTTCACTACTACCTCACTCTTCCTTACTCTCCCTTCTTCACTAATCTCACTTTTTTTCACTTCTCTCATCTTCACACACTCCCTTCTTCCACACTCTCCTCACACTCTTCACTACTCTTCTCTTCTTTACCAATCTCCCTGTCTTCCCTTCTTTTCCTACTCTCTTCTCTTCACTACTCTCCCATCACTAACTCGGGGGGTCCCTTCTTCCCTCTTCTCTCTCTTTCACTGCTCTTCCTCTCCCTTTTTTCACTTCTCCTCATTTTCGTTCATGTCACTACTCGCCTTTGTTCCATAACTCCCTTTTTTTTTTTTCACTGCTATGCATTCTTCTCTAGTCTCTCTTTCCTCCCCTTTTTTTTTAAACTCTCCACTTCTCACCCCTTTTATCTCTTTATCCTTCCGTATTCTCCGTTTTTCATTACTACTCTCCCTTCTTCACTACTCTCCTCTTCTTCCTTTCTCCTCCTTTCTTTCACTACTCCCCTCTTCATTAGTCTACCTTCTTCCCTACTCTCTTCTTTTCCTACTCTCCCTTCTTCATTACATCTCACCATGGTATGTTCTCCATCCCCTTCACACACACTGAGGTTACATTAAATTAAACCATAATTTGTTACAGTTATAAAAGGTTTAATTTCTTTCATAACCTCTTTTATAATTATTCCTCTGTTTATAGTTGTGTCTAAGATGTTAACAAATGTTTCTCTCACAGTTTACATTGTTTCTTTTTCGTTTATGTTTGGATGCTGTCTACTTTGAGGCTACTTTCTTTGAAAGGTCTTAAATTGCTTATCACCAGCTGTTTTATTATAGATGTTTTTCTCTAATTTTTATCCTCATTTAAATCTCTTAGAAAAGTTTAAAGGTCCAAAATCTTTGTGTATTTTGGTGGACTTTGCTTTCTTTGGTAATTTTTCATGAGCTTAATTTTAGTGAATGTTAATCCGAAAACCTCTATTTAGTCTTCCCTATATTTTCAAATTTCCTTTAGTGCCTCTAAATAATTCTTGAGTTTTGAATGACTATAAGCATGACTCACGAAACTGTAATGACACAATTTCAAACAAACCATACTAAGAGCGGGGTTAGAACCCGCGATCAGAGAGTCTCAAAACTCCAGACCGTCGTGTTAGCCACTGGACCAGCTAGCTATAATAAGATTCATCCAAGTAAGTATATTTATACACCATTGGAAGGTTAGAATAGTCTTGAGCTAGAGTTCGTCACGGCCACGCTAGCTGGAGATTCGTCTGTAAAACTTGTATTTGTGGTCACAGTGGTGCCTATGCTAACCTTCCTATGATATAAATATACCTAGTTGGACGAATCTTATTTTGGCTAGCTGGTTCAGTGGAGTTTTGAGACTGATCGCGGGTTCTAACCCCGCCCGTGGTATGGTTTGACTATAAGCATGCTTATAACATATATTCTTGGGTTTTGAATAACTATAAGCATGGTTTGTTATAGCATAAATCGTTTCTCTAATTTGTAGCTTAATGTTCCTGATTATATAAGTTTTCCATTACAGCCGAAAACAATTATCGTTTTTTTCTGGAAATATAAACACAAATGCAGTATAATGTGATCCTTTATTGACAACGTTTCACCCACACAGTGGGCTTTATCAAGTCACACACGGATCTACCTGGGGTTGGAAGGTACGAGAGTATTTATGTTGAGGTCAGGTGAAGAATGCTGCATCTGATGATCTACCGGGTGGGGTTATAGAGTCTTGGGTAGCTTGGCAGGGGTATTGGACAAGTTGTAGACCTTCTGCAGTGTTCTTATGTGGGATAGCGATGAAGACGTTTCTTGGCGAGTGGTTCAGCTATGTTATAGAAGCCATTGTTCTGGTTGAAATTGTTGGTTACAGAGATAAGCGATGATTCCAGGATTCTTCTGTATTGAGTGTTGTCTTCTGTGGCTATAAGTCTTGAGTTTCTGTAGTTAATTAAATGGTTGTGTGAATTGCGATGTTGTACACAGGCATTCCTTGTATCGTCAGTCCTGCTTGCATATTGGTGTTCTGAAATGCGTGTTTGGAGGTCTCTTGATGTTTCGCCCACATATAATTTGTTGCAGTCATTACAAGGGATTATGTATACCCCTGCAGAGGATGGAGGCTTGTCCTGTCTACTACTGGTGATTGTCCTTGATGGTCGTGGTTGTGGAGGTAGATACTTGGAACGATGTTTTGGCAAAGATGTTGGGAACATGTTTGGCAATGGAGTTGTTGGGGAGGACTATGTATCTCTTCTCGGCAGTGTCTTCTCTGGGTGTGTTGAAGATGTTTAATGCCCGCCGTCTGCAGTCTCTGATGAAGTGACGAGGATAGTGGAGTTTAGAAAATACTTGTTCAATTATAGTGCATTCTTCCTCAAGGAACTCATTGCTGCAGATTCTGAGTGCACGTAGGAAGAAGCCTATAATCACACCACGTTTGGTTTTGGTGTCGTGGTGAGAGGTAGAAGTGGAGAAGATCGTTTTGGTTGGGGGGTTTTTTCGATAGACTTTAAAACGAAGTTCGTGGTCAGCTTTGCAGAGCAGAACATCAAGGAAAGGAAGAGTGTTGTCGACTTCTTCTTCAAGTGTGAACTGGATTGAAGGCTCGACCTGGTTGAGCTTGTCTTGGAGAGCTTGAACGTTGAAGCGTTTAGGAGTTATGAGGAGAATGTCGTCAACATAACGGAGCCAGGTGACAGACGAAGGAATGATGGTGGAGAAACGTTCGGCTTCTAGATGTTCCATGTATAAGTTCGCCAGGACTGCACTGAGTGGCGAACCCATGGGTAGTCCAAAAGTCTGCTGAAAGAAGTGATTTTCGAAGGAGGAAACACGTAAAGCCAACACATAGTTCAACAAGGTCGATGAAATCGCTGGCTGGAATGGGAAGATCAAGTGAATCGTCAATTTTCCTGCGCAAGAGATCGATGGCTTGTGTAGTAGGTACTTTGGTGAATAGGGAAGTCACGTCAAGGCTGGAAAGTTTCTTGTTCCTGATGTTGATGTTGCGAATGCGATTGAGGAGATCACCCGAGTGTTTGAGATGTGCTGGACTGATAGTGCCCAAGAGTTTGGAGAGGTGTTTGGCGAGAATTCCTGAGAGCTGGTGGGGAGGCACTGCCTATTCCCGAGGATATGGGCCTCAGTGGGATACCAGGCTTGTGAGTCTTTGGCAGGCCGTACATTCTGGCAGGTCTGGGGTTGCTGGGCATGGTGTGCAGAAGTTTCTTCCCTTGTTCTGAGCCCCTCAGAATGCGGCGAGTCCTTTGAAGAAAAGTTTTAGTAAGGTTGTCCACTTGGTTAGTTGTGAGAGGTTTGTAGGTATCTGGGTCATTAAGTAGATTGAGCATTTTGTTCCTGTAATCGTCAGTGTTCATGATAACAACACCACCTCCTTTATCAGCGGTGGTGACCCTGATGGTCGTGTCTTCTGCTAACCTTTGAGTGCATTGATGTAACGTCGAGGTATGACTGTGGAGCTGCGTGTTGAGATGGCTGCTGAGATGATGCCTTGAAGATAGCCTTTTTGGAAGTCGGAGTCCTTGTGTCTGTAGATTTTGGCGATGAAATTGAGGTCTTGTTTTGGTTTCGTAATTCCTGTTGCGAATTTGAGGCCTAAGCTGAGGGCTTCAGTTTCTGTGGTTGACAGTGGACGAGATGAAAGGTTTTGAATAATTTCAGGTCTTCCTAAACTTTTCCAATTACTATTATCGCAGAGTGTTTGTAGTTTCCTAGTAAGTCTGATCTTCTGTTGAACATTCGCTGTGGTAACTCTGCTGCGAATGATTTCGGCGGTGCGTCTGTTCATGTTGCCCCGGAGTGTTGTGCCTAGTGTTCTGGCTAGGAGAAAAGCTTCCTTTGTAGCATTGTTTAAGTCATCTGCACACTCTTCAAGGTAGGTCCGAGCTGTAGCGGAGAAAGGTGGTTTGATGTTGGCAATTTGAGGAGGTGTAGATCTTGGTAAGACCATTTCTTGGATGCAATCACGAAGAAAATTGTGTCTGTTGCGAAGTGAGTAAGCCTTTAGAAGAAGGTCTACAACTTGTCCAATACCCCTGCCAAGCTACCCAAGACTCTATAACCCCACCCGGTAGATCATCAGATGCAGCATTCTTCACCTGACCTCAACATAAATACTCTCGTACCTTCCAACCCCAGGTAGATCCGTGTGTGACTTGAAAAAGCCCACTGTGTGGGTGAAACGTTGTCAATAAAGGATCACATTATACTGCATTTGTGTTTATATTTCCATTGTGTCGGTATTTTATACCATTTATTTCCATCGTTTTTTTCTGTTGATAATTTCTCTTGATAGCACCGAATTATTCGGAGTCTTTCAAAATTTTAAGAATAATCTTTGTACGCATAGTTTCGAGGTTTTGAGGGGCTGGGGCTGAGCTCTAGCACTTGGCCCATCTTTAAATTTACGACATACTTGAATTAGCTTTGTCATATAGCATTTACTTTTGGCTGCCACTGAGCGTTTTTCTGCATAAGTCAACATTTAATTACTTTACCAGAGTATGATCAGTGTTTCTCTTACCTGAGTTTTCATATATTTAATTATTGGTGTATCACCCTTCCTAGTCTTCTTTTTCTCTTTATCCTTGTTGCTACTCTCCTTCATCATCTCCTTCCCATTTACCTGAAAAATATCTAAATTTAAAAAAAAATATTCATAGTAACATACTGAAAATATGAAAAAATATGTTTGTAATATATTATTTTAATTACAACACTACAAATATTCAGCAATCTCTAGAACTGCAGTGCAAACTCTGGCCACTACAAGAAGCACTGCACACTAGTTTTCCCTTATTCTTAATACGCTTTACAGTGCAAAAAACATGAGGGAGAGTTGAATGATAGTTCAAGACCTTTCGTATTGCAATCAATACATCATCAGGAGCTTGCAATGTTTGCAGAAAAAAATGAGGAATTCAAGAAAATGCGTTCAGAGGAAGCGTGTCTGCTTGAATGAGGTAGGGGGAGCAGGAGTACAGGAGGCAGGAGGTAGGAGACAGGAGGCTGGAGCAGAAGGTCAGAGGCAGGAGGCGGGAGGAAAGGAGGCAGAAAGCAGAAGCAGGAGGCAGGAGCAGGAGGCAGGAGCAGGAGGCTGGAGGCAGAAAGCAGGAGGCAGAGGAGGGGAGGATGTAGGAGACAGGAGGCTGGAGGCAAAGGCAGGAGGCAGAAAGGCAGGAGGCAGGAGGCAGGAGGCAGGAGGCAGAGGCAGGAGGCAGAGTCAGGAGACAGGAGGCTGGAGGCAGGAGGCAGGAGACGGGAGGCTGGAGGCAGGAGCAGAGCGGGAGGCAGGAGGCAGGAGGCAGGAGGCAGGAGGCAGGAGACAGGAGGCTGGAGGCAGGAGGCAGGAGACAGGAGGCAGGAGGCAGGAGGCGGGAGGCAGGAGACAGAGCAGGAGGCAGGAGGCAGGAAGCAGGAGGCAGGAGGCAGGAAGCAGGAGGCAGGAGGCAGGAAGCAGGAAGCAGGAGGCAGGAGGCAGGAGGCAGGAGGCAGGAAGCAGGAGGCAGGAGGCAGGAGGCAGGAGGCAGGAGGCAGGAGGCAGGAGGCAGGAGGCAGGAGAAGGAGGCAGGAGGCAGAGACAGGAGGCAGGAGGCAGGAGGCAGGAGGCAGGAGGCAGGAGGCAGGAGGCAGGAGGCAGGAGGCAGAGACAGGAGGCAGGAGGCAGGAGGCAGGAGGCAGGAGGCAGGAGGCAGGAGACAGGAGGCAGGAGGACAGGAGGCTGGAGGCAGGAGACAGAAGGCAGGAGGCAGGAGGCAGGAAGCAGGAGGCAGGAGGCAGGAAGCAGGAGGCAGGAGGCAGGAAGCAGGAGCAGGAGGCAGGAGGCAGGAGGCAGGAGGCAGGAAGCAGGAGGCAGGAGGCAGGAGGCAGGAGGCAGGAGGCAGGAGGCAGAGGAGGCAGGAGGCAGGAGGCAGGAGACAGGAGGCAGGAGGCAGAAGACAGGAGGCAGGAGGCAGGAGGCAGGAGGCAGGAGGCAGGAGGCAGGAGGCAGGAGGCAGGAGGCAGAAGCAGGAGGCAGGAGGCAGGAGGCAGGAGGCAGGAAGGCAGGAGGCAGGAGACAGGAGGCAGGAGGCAGGAGGCAGGAGAACAGGAGGCAGGAGGCAGGAGGCAGGAGGCAGGAGGCAGGAGGCAGGAGGCAGGAGGCAGGAGGCAGGAGGCTGGAGGCAGGAGGCAGGAGGCAGGAGACAGGAGGCTGGAGGCAGGAGGCAGGAGACAGGAGGAAAGGAGGCAGGAGGCAGGAGGGCAGGAGGCAGGAGGCAGGAGGGCAGGAGACAGGAGGCAGGAGGCAGGAGGCAGGAGACAGGAGGCTGGAGGCAGGAGGCAGGAGACAGGAGGCAGGAGGCAGGGAGGCAGGAGGCAGGAGACAGGAGGCAGGAGGCAGGAGGCTGGAAGCAGGAGGCAGGAGGCAGGAAGCAGGAGGCAGGAGGGCAGGAAAGGCAGGAAGGAGGAGGCAGGAGGCAGGAGGCAGGAGGCAGGACAAGACAGGAGGCAGGAGGCAGGAGGCAGGAGGCAGGAGGCAGGAGGCAGGAGGCAGGAGACAGGAGGCAGGAGGCAGAAGACAGGAGGCAGGAGGCAGGAGGCAGGAGGCAGAGGAGGCAGGAGCAGGAGGCAGGAGGCAGGAGGCAGAAGACAGGAGGCAGGAGGCAGGAGGCAGGAGGCAGGAGGCAGAGGCAGGAGGCAGGAGGAAAGAGGCAGGAGGCAGGAGGCAGGAGACGGGAGGCGGAGCAGGAGGCAGGAGGCAGGAGGAGGACAGGAGGCAGGAGGCAGGAGGCAGGAGCAGGAGAAAGGCAGGAGGCAGGAGGCAGGAGGCAGGAGGCAGGAGGCGGGAGGCAGGAGGCAGGAGGCAGGAGGCGGGAAGACAGGAGGCAGGAGGCAGGAGGCAGGAGGCAGGAGGCAGGAAGGCAGGAGGCAGGAGGCAGGAGGCAGGAGGCAGGAGGCAGGAGGACAGGAGGCAGGAGGCAGGAGGCAGGAGGCAGGAGGCAGGAAAGCAGGAAGCAGGAGGTAGGAAAGGCAGGAGGGGCAGGAGGCAGGAGGCAGGAGGCAGGAGGAAGGAGGCAGGAGGCAGGAGGCAGGAGGCAGGAGGCAGGAGGAAAGGGTGGAGACAGGAGGCAGGAGGCAGGAGGCAGGGGGACAGGAGGCCAGGAGGCAGGAGGCAGGAGGCAGGAGGCAGGAGGCAAGGAGGCAGGAGGCAGGAGGCAGGAGGAGGAGGCAGGGGGGCAGGAGGAGGAGGCAGGAGGCAGGAGGCAGGAGGCAGGAGGCAGGAGGCAGGAGGCAGGAGGCTGGAGGCAGAAGGGGCAGGAGCAGGAGGCAGGAGACAGGAGGCAGGAAGCGGGGAAGCAGGAGGAGGAGGCAGGAGAGGCAGGAGGGCAGGAGGCAGGAGGCAGGAGGCAGGAGGCAGGAGGCAGGAGGCAGGAGGCGAGGGGGACAGGAGGCTGGAGGCAGAAGGCAGGAGGCGGGAAAGGCAGGAGGCAGGAGACAGGAGGCAGGAAGCAGGAAGCAGGAGGTAGGAGGCAGGAGGCAGGAGGCAGGAGGCAGGAGGCAGGAGGCAGGAGGCAGGAGGCAGGAGGCAGGAGGCAGGAGGCAGGAGGCAGGAGGCAGGAAGCAGGAAGCAGGAGGTAGGAGGCAGGAGGCAGGAGGCAGGAGGCTGGAGGCAGGAGGCAGGAGGCAGGAGGCAGGAGGCAGGAGGCAGGAGGCAGGAGGCAGGAGGCAGGAGGCAGGAGGCAGGAGGCAGGACAGTATTTAATCTAATGAAGAGCTGGACACAAAAGATAATTTATATCTGAATTATTACCTCACTCTATTTCAAACATTCCACTACGTGCTCAACAGATAATTTACCGCTATATGTTTAGTTAATTCAAGCTAATGAATTATGAATTGTTATGATGCTGGGAAGACCATAGTATAGTTCTGTACTTTTTTCATATTATATATAATAGAGTGGACTTGGATTGAATCATTCACATTCTGTCTTTTAAGTATACTCATTACTTACAATATATTTCCTAGTTCTTGAAGAACACAAATTTTTTTTTCATAATGTTAATGTAAAAATTTTTAATTTTGCACCAAAAGAATTTAGAAAACTTACCTAACCTTATTATAACAAGAACAATTTATTTTAGCCTAACCCAACTATATATATTTTAGATTTGCTTACAAATAATTTAATACTAAAGAAAACAAAGTTAAATATATTTTCTCGTTAGGTTCAGAATGATTTTGGCGAAAATTATTGCATACACAAATTTTCGCTTGTCCTATATGGCAAGATGAACGTTGCCTATTTAAGCCAAGATCGCAAATTCTGCCTATTCGGCACGACACATATATATATATATATATATATATATATATATATATTATATATATATATATATTATATAATATATTATATATATATATATTATATATATATATAATATATATATATATATATTAATATATATATATATATATATATACATATATGCAATAAGATCACGGTAAACAGGTGATTTCAGAATATGCAAAACAACCACTCTGAAAGAATAGAGAAATTCCAAGCGCTTTCGTGACTACTCACATTATCAAGGAACTATGAAAGTAAAGCATCCAAGGAAGCTATATAAGGGATGTGGCCAGCACCTCACTATCAGATCCCACAACGGTTTATTAAACACTTGACGCGCGCCGGCCCAACTGGACGGTCTCCACAGACTCCTAAGTGCAGCACTCACCCTTTTCCCTCATCAATTCTATGATTCACCTCATCTTTCATAGACCCATCCGCTGACACTTCCACTCCCAAATATGTGAATACGTTCACCTCCTCCATACTCTCTCCCTCCAATCTGATATCCAATCCTTCATCTCCTAATCTTTTTGTTATCCTCATAACCTTACTCTTTCCTGTATTCACCTTTAATTTTCTTCTTTTGCACACTCTACCAAATTCATCCACCAATCTCTGCAACTTCTCTTCAGAATCTCCCAAGAGCACAGTGTCATCAGCAAAGAGCAGCTGTGACAACATATATATAAATTTTATATATATATATATATATTTTATATGTTTTTCATATATATATATATATATATATATATATATAATATATTTATATATATATTATATTATATATATAATATATATTATATTATATGTCCACCCCCAAATATCTTAATACATTCACCCCCTCCATACTCTCCCCCTCCAATTTGATATCCAATTTTCATCAACCTAATCTTTTTGTTATCCTCATAACCTTACTCTTTCCTGTATTCACCTTTAATTTTCTTCTTTTGCAACACCCTACCAAAATCATCCACCAATCTCTGCAACTTCTCTTCAGAATCTCCCAAAGAGCACATTTGTAAACAGAAAAGAGCAGCTGTGACAACTCCCACTTTGGTGTGTGGATTCTTTATCTTTTAACTCCACGCCTTTCCCAAAGGACCCTCGCATTTACTTCTCTTACAACCCCATCTATAATAAAATTAAACAACCACGGTGACATCACAAATCCTTGTCTAAGGCCTACTTTTACTGGGAAAAAATTTCCCTCTTTCCCCTACATTCTCTAACTTGAGCCTCACTATCCTGTAAAAAATCTTCACTGCTTTCAGTAACCTACCTC